ACAACGAGGGGCGCAGAAACGAGGGGCGTGGCAACGAGGGGCGGGAGGGGAACCCGGATGACGGGAGGAATTTGGCAGGTGGGAGGGAAGCTGCTGGGTATGGTGAGGGGTGGACAGAGGGAGGTGGAGGGGGCGAGGGCGGTGGAGGGAGTAGTGAATGGAGGGAGTCTGCTGGCAATGGCTGCACTCCCGTGAGGTTGTCAGGAGAAGCAGGGCGCACTGACACTGCCAATGACACCGGCAATGACACCGGCAATGACACGAATGCTGCTGCACAAGAGGTGGCTCTGAATCCCACGTTAAGTTCACTCGGGGTGGAGGCCAGAGCAGGAGGCGCTGCGGGTGGCATGAGTGTTGGTGAGGCTGATACAGACCGCATAATGGCAGAGATAGGCGGGGGAGAAGAGGGTTGCGATGAGGAGAGAGCAGGAGGGATGGAAGCTGGACTGCCATCTTTAGCAGCAGCAACACCAGAGCCAGGACCAGAACCAGCATCAGCATCAGCGCCAGCAGCAGCAGCATGTGACAAGGCAGCAGCGGACGAGCACCGGCAGCAGTCCCTACCCACGCCACCAGCGAAGCGGCCTGTGGATCTGGTGCCCAGCGACCCGCACCTGAGGGACCTGCTGCCGGACCTGCAGTCCCAGGCAGGGGGGGACAACCCCAAGCGCATCCGCTGCTGACGCCAACCAGCCCCCGCACTGCTGTGCTCTCCTGTCCCCTCATGGTATGCTTCCCCTCAAGCGTTGCTAACTTGCTAGTGCGTGTGCGCTGCCTTTATTTATTTCTTGTTTCTGTTTCTTTCCTGCACGTGTGAAACCCTTTCCCTTCAGTGCCACATTACGGGATGGCCACTAACATGAGGGTGCATTATCACCCTCATTGGAAGCACTGGCGTCATAGTCAACGGCATCACTTCACCCATGATCCTTCCACCATGCATGGGCTCTGCCCGCGGTCCTCCCTCCATCCGTCAGCCAGACCCCTTCTACTCACTGCGCCACTCGCAAGAAACTCTTTCGGGGGCATCGTACCATCTGAAGAAGACGCCATGTCCTGCCCTGCGCCTCTGGTATCTATAGCAACTGCATGGTTCTTACAGCACTGCCGCATTACCGGCATGATACATTGTGAGTTGGGGCAAGCACATCAGGAGGAGCAGGGCAGGGTATGGGGCGCGCGACACCCCGCACAGCCAAGGCGGCAATTTGCTGTAACAATCATGGTGTGTGTCCCTGTGTGATGTGAATGTGTGTGTGTGTGTGTGTGCGTGTGTGTGTGTGTGTGTGTGTGTGTGTGTGTGTGTGTGTGTGTGTGTGTGTGTGTGTGTGTGTGTGTGTGTACAAGTAACGATACTGCCCACCAGCCAGCTCCAGCTCGGCTATTTGCCTCACGAGTTTGCTTCACATGAATATGCCCCCAAATAGGTTCTTTTTCTGGTTGCTCTCCCTCTCCTCGGCTCATTGATTCCCTCTATTTCTGCCCCATTTCCTGCTTCTCTGCTTCCCTGTTCGCGTTCCACCATGCACTCCAATTGTTCACATATTGAATGTTGTATATTACACATTTGAAGTTATACGTTATGATACTGGTACATTATTTTTAAGTTATGATACAAGAACACGTAGTCATTCATGACCGCATGCCTTCTGTGTCGTGTTGTGCTGACGTGGCATGGGCTTTGGGTGCCATACGACTGTCGGCAACTGGCACTTGCATGGAAGCACGTTGTTTCATCTCACGTACATCCACAACCAATCTCGTCCGTCAACGCGAATCACGTGAATTCAGCCAATCAGTGGCAGTCTGGCTTGATTTGATGAGACTCCCACGCTTGAGTCGAACGGTCGTACTTGTGTTGACGAAGTGGTAACTGTTCGCCTACCCCATGTTTGCCAGTACGCCAAACCGGCTCAGCGTATTCAGTGTAGAGTCCCTAGGCGAACGGGCCACCGTACCGTACGTCGCATGTACGCTGCATCCACAATGGTTTGGCTTGGATTGGCCCCCCATCAATGCTACCACCCCTCGGCGGCATGGTGGTGGATGGTCTGGCACTCCACGTGGTGGCTTAACGAAATATTTACGTAACCTCAGTCCTTCTCGTCAGAGCACGAATTATGCTCGTCAATTTCGTTTCAGGGCACTAACGTATTTCGCAAGGTGGAGGCTGACCCTCTGCCCCATCCTGTTGTCTGCTTTCCTCAGCAGACGAAACCAAACCAAACCCCAGCCAGCCTCACCTGCACCAAATCCTTCCTCCTCAAATCTCAAATCTCCATTCACCATTTACCATTCACCCAACATCATCCACCCATCCATTACCCTCGCACATCAAATTGCTGTGCTGCGAGGCCGTCCCGCTGCGAGGCCGTCGCCCTGCGAGGCCGTCCCGCTGCGAGGCCGTCGCCCTGCGAGCACGTCCTTCAGGAGCCCAGCTTCCTCCCATCTCCGTGGAATCGGCGGGGGCTTTCGACTAGCGTGAGATCTTCGCTCCTCGTTCCGTACGTCGCGTTGCCTTCCTTCGCAAGCAACGCGTATTTGCGAAGCGGGCTAACCATGGACCAAATCGCCGAGGGTGGGGGGGTTGGGGAGGGTGGGAGGGACAGCACCGCGCTTGCACAGCCGCAGACGAGGCCGGAAAGCGAGAGCAGGAGGCGTAAGCGCAGGCGATCTCCATCTAACCGGGGGCTATCCCCCTCCTCCCGCCAAGCGGGCGCTGCCGGCAACCGATCTACCGTTGCCGGCGGCGCGACCGCCTCCCAGCGGAGACGACGGCTACGGTCAGACGGCCACGGCACGAGGACCGGTGGTGGTGCGGTGCCGAGAGCGGGAGACACTGGCCATGAGCTCGGGAGTACGCGGAGAGTGCGGCGGGCGGAGGAAGGCGGTCGGAGGCGACGAAAGGCAAAGAGGCGGTGCATGGCTGGCGCAAGGAGGAAGCCCGCGGAGGCGGAGGCGGAGGCGGAGGCGGAGGGGGAGGGGGAGGGGGAGGGGGGGGCGGAAGCAGAAGCGGAAGCGGAAACGAAAGCGGGAGCGGGAGCGGAAGCGGGAACGGGAGCGGAAATCCGCGCGGGGGGGAGCGCGGGGGGTCTTGCGCGAACTGGCGGCGGGTGCAAGAGGAAGCGGCAGGGGAGGGGTAGCAAGGCGGGGAGGAGCGTTGGCGGATCTTCCAAGTCCGCTGCATCCGCATCTGGTTGCGCCATGGCTGATGATGTCACGGCTGCAGGCCCTGATGACGACGATGGTGGTGAGGATGGCGACGCGAGCGGGGAGGACGGCGAGGAGGGAGAGGAGGGAGAGCAGAAGGAGGAGGAGGAGGAGGAGGAGGAGGAGAAGGAGGAGGATGAGATGTGTCTGAGCGCGGAGTCAGCACGTAAGAAGCTCACGGACCGCGTGTGCTGCCCGATCTGCCTGGAGGCGCCGCACAACGCGGTGCTGCTCGTGTGCGCGTCGCTCGAGAAGGGCTGTCGCACGTTCGTGTGCGACACGAGCCACCGCCACTCCAACTGCTTCGACCACTTTCGCAAGTCGCAGCAAGCGGCATCTGCGGCGGCGGCGTCTGCGGCGGCGGCTGCTGCTGCCGTTTTCCCAGCCCCCCCGGCCGAAGCCAGACCCAGTGGAGCTGCCGGGGTTGGCGAGGTTGGCGGCGGTGTTGGCGCGAGCGGCGGGAACGCTGCGGTGACCCCCGGGTCTGGGGGAGCCGCCAGCGCAGCCGCGGGCACTGCTGGAACTGCGGCTGGTTCTGGAGCCGGCGCTGGCTCCGCGCCTGCCGCGTCTGCCGCCTCTGCAGACTTGCCATTCAACCCGCTAGGCATCCCCGAGCCGTCGACGCGCATGGGAGGGGAACAGCGCGGAACGGCAGGAGGAGGAGGAGGAGGAGGAGGAGGAGGAGGAGGAGGAGGAGGAGGAGGAGGAGGAGGAGGAGGAGGAGGAGGAGGAGGAGGAGGAGGGGGAGCAGGGGAGAGAGGGGGAGGCGGAGGGGGAGGCGGAGGGAGAGGCGGAGGGGGAGGCGGAGGGAGAGGCGGAGGGGGAGCGGCGAGTGGCGGAGGTGCAGGCCCAGGCGAGGGGTGGCGGGTTCATGTGACTGTGACAGTGGGTTCACCCCCTCGCTCGTCGTTCAGGGACCGGCGCCTAGGAGCGGAAGTGTTGGGCGGCCGCGCCAACTCCAGGCCCTGGGACATCTTCCCCTCCGCGCGCCGCCCTTTCGCTGCTTCTGCGGCAGCCGCCAGGGCCGCCCGCGAGGCCATGGGCGGGGGAATCGGCGGAAGTGGGGCAGCGGGAGGGAGCGCGGGCGGGAGTGCGGGCGGGATTGCGGGCGGCGTGCGGTCGGCGGGTGGTGAATACAGCAGTAGCAGCAGCGAGAGCGAGGAGGAGGGGGAGGATCGAGAGGACGACACGTGGAGCAGCAGCAGCAGCGGTAGCGGCAGCGGTGGGAGCATGAGCAGTCAGGAGCGCAATGGCAGCAGCAGCGGCGGCAACAGCAGCGGCAGCAGCAGCAGCGGCGGCGGCGGGTTCAGTGGCAGCAGCGGTAGCAGCGGCGACGGGGGGAGTGAGGAGGAAGGGCATGGAGGAGCGGTCGCAGGCGATGCTGGCGGTGGCGCGCTTATCGTCATCAGCGACGATGACGACGACGACGACGACGACCATGGCGACCATGGCGACGATGGCGACAGCCCCAGGCGTCGCTCGCAAGCCAGGCGACCGGCTTTGGCTGCTGGAAACGCCGGTGCAGATGCTGCTGCTGCGGGTACTGCTGCTGCTGCTGCTGCTGCGGCTGGTGTTGGCGTTGACGATACTGCTGCTGCTGCTGCTGCTGCTGCTGCTGCTGCTGGTCGTGGTACTGGGCCCAGCGGCAGGCGGCTCGGCCATCGCCGTCAGCGGCGGCGCCTGTGCCGCGCGGACGACACGAATGGCGCGGGTCAGGGAGGCGGGGAGGCGGAAGAACTGGGGGAGGGGAACGCGGCGACAGGAGGGGCGCAGGGGGAGGCGGCGGAAGAGGGGGAGGCGGGGGGAACGGGGGGAGCGGGGGGAGCGGGGGAGGAGGCGGATGAGGACGTTCGGGAAGTGAGGCTAAGCGCGGAGGACAAGGGCAAGCGGGTGATTGGCGACGCGCCTGCGCGCGGCAGGACCAGGTCAAGATCGGGATCGAGATCGGGATCGAGATCGGGATCGAGATCGGGATTAGGCTCGGGCTTAGGTTCGGAATTACCGTCGGGATCTAAGCACGGTGCGCCAGGGTTGACGAGGCGGAGGGGGATAGCGGCGACGCGGCGGCGCGAGGAGGACGCGGGGCTCCGCGGCGTGAGCCGGTCGTTCCTTCGAGCACTCGGACAGGGGCAGCTGCTGCTGACGGCGGGCGGGAAGGGCGAGGGCGAGGGGAAGGGCAAGGGGGAGGGCAAGGGGGAGGGGAAGGGGGAGGGGAAGGGGGAGGGCACGGGGGAGGGGACGGAGGGAATGGGGGGCACGGGAGAGGGTAAAGGTGGGGATGAGGCTGGAGAGGACACGGAAGGAGGTGGCGACAAGGGCGGGAGGGCAGGGAAGGGGAAGGAGAAGGAGAAGGAGGAGGAGAAGGAGGAGGAGAGTGGGAAGGGGAGCCGGGGTGAGAGGAGCGCGATCTGCAGCCATGGGTACCAGGAGTGTGCGGGGCAGAGCATGCAGGGGAAGGGGAGTAACAAGGCGGGTAGGATTGGGGGAGAAAAGGGTAAGAAGCACGGTCGCGGCGGCCGCAGTTTCGAGTCTCGAGACGCCACGGCGTGTTTCACTGGCGGGGAGCTTCACGGGTTGTGTTTCTCCCGCGTTCCCCCCGCGGAGTCCGCCTCCCTGCGCTGCCCGATGTGCCGCTGCCCTGTCTTGGGGTGGTTCGTCCACAAAGACGTGCGTGCGCTCCTGAACGCCGTTCCGCGCGCTTGCGCGCACGAGAGCTGCGCGTTCGCGGGCGCGTATCCCGCTCTCCGCGCGCACGCGCGCTCCGCGCACGCGCAGGCGCGCCCGCCCGCGGAGGCGGACCCCGCGCGCGTGCGCCGGTGGCGGAGACTGCAGAGCCAGCAGGAGGTGGGGGACGTGGTGAGTAGCATCCGCGCCGCCATGCCTGGCGCTACTATAATAGGCGACTATGTGATTGGCGGGGATAGTGACGATGATGACGATCTCTTGGGCGGGTTTGGCGGGCTGGGGGGACTCGAAGGGGGGAGGTTCGGCGCAGGGGGAGTATTTGGTGGAGGAAGGTTCTGGGGAGGCGCGGGCGGCAGGGGGGGCGCGGGGGGCGCGGGGAGGCAGGGGTATAGGGGATGGGGGGAGCGCTGGCGGGGTTCAATGGGGGGGGCTGGGGGACCCGTTCGGGGTGGGGGACTGGGGATGGAAGGGGGAGGGGCGATGGGGGCGGCTGGCCGGAGGGCTGCTGCTAGGCTGTTTGGGTTTGGGCGAGCGCGAGAGGGGCTAGGCGCGGGTGGGGTGGGCGGGGGAAGAACGGGGGAGAGGGGAGGGTTTGGTCGGTTGCGGTTCAGCATGGGTGGGGGGGGAGGGGGGGACATGGGGGAGGAGGAGGGGCGGGATGGTGTGGTGGAGGAGAGGGCGCGGGAGAGAAGGCGCAGGGCGCGCATAGGGAGGAGGCGCGGGGGAAGGGGGGGGGCTGGATGGGAGCTGGGCGGTGGCGGATGGGGGGAGGAAAGGGAGGAGGGCGAGGAGGAGGGGGAGGAGGGCGAGGAGAGGGAAGCGAGAGCAGCAGCAGCAGCAGCTGGGGCTGCAGACAGGGATGCAGCGGAGGAAGGAGAGGAGGAAGACGAAGTGGAGGAGGAGGAAGGGGAAGAGGAAGGGGAAGAGGAAGAGGAGGAGGATGAGGATATGGATTTCCCAGGTGACAACGGTAGTCTATGGACGGCCATGCTGCTGCTGACAGCCGGCAGCAGCAGCAGCGCTTCCATCTGGAACCCGCCCCTCTTCTCCTCCGCGCCCATCTTTGCCCGCCGCCGCCCTGCCCCTTCCCCCCTGCCCCCCCACACCCGCCGCAGCCTCCTCAGCACTCTCCCCGCCCCTCGCAGGGGGGGGAGGGAGTGGGAGGAGGAGAGGGACGGGGAGGAGGGAGGGGAGGCGAGGAGGAGGGGGGGAGAACCTGGTGAGGGGGATGGGACTGGGGATGCTGCCGAGGGGGGGAGGAGGGAGAGGGAGAGAGGGGAGGAGGAAAGGGGGGATGGAGGGCGAGGGATGGGAGAGAGGGCGGCAGAAGGGAGGGCGTTGGCCCGTGGGAATGCGACGACGGGTATGAGGCAGAGGTTGGAGGAGCTAGAGGCGAGGCTGAGGCTGAGCAACGCGTTCGCATCTGCAAGCACTGCTCGTGCATTGGGTGCTGGGTCCCGAGAGCCCTTTCGACGAGGAATCACCGCAACCACACGATCAGCACCGCCTGCTGCTGGTGCTGCTGCTGGTGCTGCTGTTGGTGCTGAAGGTGCCGGTGCTGGTGATGGGGCTGCTGCTCGTGCTGGGTCTGAAGCCAACGCCGGTTCGGGTGCTGATTTGGGCACTGGCACGGGCACTGGCACGGGCACTGGCACGGGCACTGCTTCAGATGCTGCTCCAGTGCTTCCTTGGGGATACGTGGGGGCAAGGATGGGAGGGCCGAGTTGGCTCGCTGGGCGCAACAACAGCGGCGGCGGCGGCAGCAGCAGCAGCAGCAGCAGACGTGGTAGGTGGGGGGACTTAGAGCCTCTAGGGAGGGCGACAGGCATGGGAACTGGTGCTGCCACTGCTGGAGGTGCTGCTGTGGACCGCATCCATGCTGCTGCTGCTGGTGCTGCCGCTGCTGCTGCTGCTGCTGCTGCCAATGGTGCTGAGCTTGCTGCCAGCGGTGGCAGTGTTCGGTCGAGGTCAGTTGGGCCTACATCTGGCCGTGGCAGCAGCAGCAGCAGTGGTCTCGTGGGGCGTGCACTGAATCTGGCCTTGGAGCGAGCAAGGCGAGAGCGGGAGAGGGCGCAGGAGTCAAGGAGACGCGGTGAGCGAGACGTGTGGGGAGAAGCAGGAGGGGTTGCAGCAGGAACGGGGGGAGCAGAATCAGGAGCAAGAGGGGGAGGAGGGGGGAGGTTTGGGAGGTTTGGGAGGTTTGGGAGGTTTGGGAGGTCTGATCGGCTGCGGAGTATGCTGACTGGGGAGGAGAGTGGTGAGGGTGCGGAGGGGATGGCGCGGGGAGGAGATGAGGAGGAGGATGAGGGGGTGCAGGAGGTGGTGGAGGAGGAAGACGATGAGGTTGACGAGATTAAGGATGGCGACGCGGAGGAGGGGGAAGGTGATGGTGGTTGTACCAATCACAGTGGTGCTGCGGGCGGTGGCGGTTCTGCTGCTAACGATGCTACTGCAGCCACCACTGCTGCTGCTGCTGCAGCTGCCCCTGTTGCTGCTGCTTCAGTAGCTGTTGGTGGTAGCCGCAGTGTTCCCAGGACGTCACGTGTGCTTCGGTCTGCTCCGCGTGCTGCTGAAGCAGCCGCTGCACCTCCTACACGTGCCGCCACGCGTGCAGCAAGGAGCTCAGGTTTGTCCTCGTCCCGTGCTATCGCCGCCAACCCTCCCATCCTTGCCACCGCCAGCAGGCTCAGGGTGCAAGGGGTCCCTCCTAGGACCGTAAGCACCAGGGCTTCTGCTGCTGCAGCGGCTGCGGCAGCGGCTGCGGCAGCGGCAGCTGCTGCTTCTGCGTCCGCAGGCAACACCAGTGCTGGCCATGCTGGGAGTAATAGTGGGTAGGCCGTGTCTGGTGCTAGTGGTGCTGGTGCTACGGTGTTGCTTCTAGCAGCAATGCAGTGCAAGTGAGCCCTTCTGTGTGCAGTAGGCCTTTGACAATGCTTCCTCCCAAGAGAGCACGTACTCCCGTATTTGCTTTCACTCATGCATTAAAGCCATGCTTTTGCTCACTTGCCTTGTGCTGGCCTACTCTTCCTGTTACCTTTCCTGCTTACCTTTTTAGGCCGCCATTGTCATGTACTCCAATTTCTGAAGTATAGGACCACCCAACCCAACTCAACCCCTTGCTGTCACTATTTTTCTTGGAGATGGATAAGAAGGGGCAATTGATGATATAACAATAGACGGTCTCAAACCTGTGTTACCGGAAATGCATCAAGCGCGGACGCACTGGAACCTTCTTGAATCGTTCAAATTGACGGCCGAAGCGAACTATTCCCGTCCATTCCGTCAATTTCAGGTGGGTGTGTCTCTCTGGCGGCCCGTCGCCTCGAGATGATATGACAGCATGCACCACCATCGGAATCATCAGTTGTCATGACCGTCGCCTAATTGTCCCTGTACTGTACATCCCTGAGTCCCGTCCCGTGACTCCCCTCCAGGTCCCCGAACCTGTGTCCCCCAGTCCCCAAGCTCTCTCCTCTCCCGCCCTTGGGATCATCACTTGGGAAGTTCCCGAGGGCCTGCTGATTGCTGAAGCATTTGAAATTCGAGCAGTCAACTTCAGCCTGGAATAGCAGGCATCCTGAAAGCCCAGATAGCTCACTACCTTGGTTTTGGACAGGCGGCCACAGGGCGAGCTGTCTCACGGAACTACTTGAAGTACTATTGCCAGCCGAACAGCTGGGCTATGATCCGCTGTGATCCCAGAACAGACACCAGAAGAGGCTTTGAATCGTCTGCGTGACACACCACTGAACAGCGTGAACAGCTTTGGCTTGAAGTGAGGCGGTTTGAAGATGGGGGATTTCGACGAGTACGATTATCTCGAGAAGACCGTGGAACGCGCAGCAGCAGGCGAGGACGGCTACGCCACTGGTCGCGTCATGAACGGTGGGCGTTCGCGACGGCCGACGGAGTTCGACGACGACGCTCGCCAACGACGTCGCACGGGGTCCAAGCGACGGTCCACGAACTATGGCGATGGCGACGGCTACGACGACGACGAAAACGACGGCGGCGGCCCGTATGGCGACGAGGAGAACGGAGACGTCGGCGACGAGGAGCTGGACGATCGCAGCAAGCGCGTGCGACGCTACGAGGAGCCGAGATCGCACAGTCGCGATGGCGAGAGAAGCCACAGAAGCTGGGAGCGCGGCCGAGAGAGGGATGGCGACCGCGATGTCGATCGGAAGCGGGACCGCTACTATCGGAGCAGGGACGACGAGCGCGAACGGGATTACTACCGTGGTGACCACTACAGTAGCCGCGGAAGGGATCGAGGGGATCGCGACCTGAGACGAGATTACTATGAGGGGGACCGGCGCCGCGACCGTGATCCGGACTACTACGACCGACGGAGGTACGTTAACGTCTTCGTTCGCTACCTCCTCTTTCAGTCTTCGCTTTGCGATAGCATACCCTCCCTCTCTGTTGTTGTACTATAGTGCAAATTAGTTGTAATGATTCTTGCGACTTATCTTTTTTCGGGTTAGCTTATTCTTTCGTTTGTGCAAAGTCAGGGAAAGCTAGTAGCCAGCTGGAAGAACGCGCGTGGTGTTCCTGACGCTTGTTGTGAGCTGTGCCCACCATCACTGCTGCTGGCCAGAGCTCTTGTCGTCCCTTTTCATCGGCTGATTCCACCGTTTCTGTTTCCCACTGCACCGTCTTCCACTCTGCCATGCTCGCAGCTTCCGCGAGCGGCGGGAGAGGCGTGAGAAGGAGGCGGAGATCGAGCCTGATCCAGACAGAGACCTTCGCACTGTGTTTGCCTACCAGGTAACCAGCTCCGTGCTGTGTTCGCCTACCAGGCAACCAGCTCCACGCCGTGTTAGTTTCGCAACTGGGCATCAGTGCGGTGTGGGGCTGTGCACAGGCGTTTTGAGTGTCGCGGGGTTGACAGTGGCACAAGCAGAGTGGCTCGATTGGGATTCGCTGTTTTGCACGTTCACTGACATCTATCAAGTCCTTAAAATTCGCTCCTTCATCTCCTCGCATCCATCGATATCTTCTCTTCGCTTTTCCCTTTCCCCCCCGGGACACCCCCCGCCCCCCCCTTCTTAGATCAACCTGAAGGCGGACGAGCGCGATGTGTACGAGTTCTTCTCGCAGGCGGGCAAGGTGCGTGACGTGCGCCTCATCACGGACCGCCACTCGCGCCGCTCCAAGGGCGTGGGGTACGTCGAGTTCTACGACCCCATGGCCGTGCCCATGGCGCTCGCGCTCTCGGGCCAGCTGATCCTCGGCACGCCTGTCATGGTGAAGCCGTCTGAGGCCGAGAAGAATCTGGCGGCGGCGCAGAGCGCTGCCAGTGCTGCTGCTGCTGGGGGCGGGGCACTGCTCGCGACTGGGTCGAAGAGGCTGCACGTGGGGAACCTGCATGTGAACATGAATGAGGAGCAGCTGCGGCAGGTGAGGGCGGGGTTGATGGGTGAAAAGGGGGGAGGGTTGGGGGCTGGGGATGTTGTTTGAGCGGGTGTGGAGGATGGGAGACCCGGGGAAACGGCAAGAGAGCGAAGATGGGAGCCAAAGAGGATAATGGAGTGGTTTTCCCAATTTCCGGGTCATTGGATTCTCACATGCCTCCTCGTTTTCTTGTAGGTCTTGCCCACTTGCTTTCCCTGCTGGTGCGTTGCGTTGCATTCCCCTGCTGGCAGGTGTTTGAGCCGTTTGGAGAGCTGGAGCTGGTCCAGGTTCCCATGGATCCAGGCGCCGCTCAGTGCCATGGATTCGGCTTCGTGCAGGTGGGCTGTGGAAAGAAGGGGGGGAGAAATCGGAAAGGGGTGGATGTGAATTGGCTGCTCGGAAGGGGATTGTGGGGGGGCAGGGGGGAGATGTGTATGAGCCACAGTACAGTTGTCCTACCGTTTTTTGTTGCCTTTCTCATGCCTTTTTACGTGCTGGCTGGGTGCCTTACCCCGATCGCTCTGTGTGCAGTACGCACGCCTAGAAGACGCCCGCATGGCGCACCAGAACCTGGAAGGGCTCGAGCTGGCAGGCCTCGCAATCAAGGTGCGCCCAGCTCTTCCTCACTTGAAAATGACACTCCGCATGCATCTGCTCTTGCATCTGCTCTTGCATCAACTCTACCAGAACGTTGATTCTTCGCGCCTGACCCCTTCATTCAGCTTGCGTCCAACTGAGTTCTGGTCTTCTACCACTGACAGCATGTGCCGTCATCCTCTTCGCGTGTTTCCGCCCTCACGTTTCTTTGCCACCTCCCTGCTGTCCTCTCGTCCCGTGCTTGCCCCGCGTGCCCCATGTGCGCCCTACAGATCACCCCTGTGCCCGAGCTGGCAGAGCAGGTCAACCCAGTGGCCCCAGGGGAGCTCACAGACGAAGGAGGCGGTCTGGTGAGTGTGACTTAGCAGCCTGGACGCCCAGGGAGGGACTGTTAGCGTGGCACTCGCCTTGCCTTGCTCGCACACTCAACCGTGCTTCATGAGCGTTCGCCCCCTGACTCTTTTCTCATGCTCCTCCGTCCTCAGCCCGCTGATGCTCATTCATTCCAACTTCTTTCCTTCATCTCAATCTCAATCTCAATCTCAATCTCAATCTCAATCTCAATCTCAATCTGATGTGCGCGTGCGCTCCCCCTTCCTCTTGCTCTCGCTCCCCCTCTCAGGGCCTTGACGCACAGGCCAGGGCAGCACTCATGATGAAGCTAGACCGCACAGGCACTAGGTAACCTCACAAGTCTATGCCGCAGGTCTTTCATCTATGCTCTTCCTCCAGCCTGCCTTGCACGCCCTCTCGCCCCACTTGTCGCACTTGTCTTCTCTTACGTTGAAGCCGTTGATGTCTTTCTCATGGTTCTGCATCCAGTTTGCCACAAATTCCGCTCATTTATCGTTGTTTCTCTGTCTCTACTCGTACTGCCCACCGCAGTGCTGCTGCAGTTTCCTCAGTACTCCCAGCAGCAGCAGCAGCAGCAGCAGCAGGGCCGGGGGCAGGCGTTCGTGCTGTGAACCCTCTCGCAGCAATGGCTCTGCGCCCTGGCGTCCTCCCTACCACGACAGCTGTCCCAGCAGCAGCAGCAACAGCAGCAGCACCTGCAGTGGATATTGGCACGCCCAGCGAGTTCGTGCTGCTGACTAACATGTTTGACTCTTCTGAGCAGGTGTGTGCGTTGGTCGGTTACTGACATGTCACATTTGTGGCCGGTTGCTCCTTGTTCTCCTCCTGGCTCCTGTCTTCGTGTCCTCCCCTCCCACAAGCTCCTCTTTACTGCGAACTATGAGTGCGAGCCCTTCCTTTCCTCCTGGACAACAACCAGCGCCCATCTCCTCTTGCCCCTCCTCCCTCGCAGATTGACGACGAGTTTGAGCAAGACGTGCAGGACGACGTGTTTGAGGAGTGCTCCAAGTTCGGCACGGTCAAGAAAGTAAAAGTCCACAGGTGAGGGCCTTCTTGCTGCACTGCCCCTGCTTGGTTGGGCTGGGAATTGCAGCTGGCTTTAGTGTATGATCCTCTGTGCTGTGGTGGTGTGCATAGTATTCCTTTCCACGTAAATCTCCGTCCTCGGAAAGGTAAGCATGCCTTTGAGTCGACTCAGATGGAGATTTTTGTTCTAGGAACAGTAGGCATGGTTGAGAAGTATTGGGAGTTACAGCTTAGCGACAGAGGAAGTTATGGGCCCAGAGCAAAAGATTTGAGCTGGTTAGGGTTTCGTCCTCGTTACTCGTTGATTTGGATGGGTTTCAGGAGGGCAGTCCAGGGGTAAGCAGGTGGCACTGTACTGTGGGCGCCGGTGCTGCTTATATTGACGCTTCTTCAGCACTCTGCCCGCTGCCTGCCTTGTCCCTCTTCTGTTTTGTTTTGTTTTGTTTTGTATACATTGTTTCCTGCATCAGCTGCATCTGATGCAAGCTGGCCGTGTTTGCCTTCTCAATACTTTTAGTAAACTGTTCTTTTTCGTGAGGCTGCTGCAGATGGCGGGTTCTTGTAGGTTTTAAACTATAAGCTTTAAGTGCACAGCTGGCCTCGAAGGCAACTCTAAGTGGTATCTATGGTGCGTGAGGCAGCAGCATCTCACTTCTTTTCCCTGATTCTTAAGCATTCTACTTAGTTGAGCGAGGCAGAGGCTTATGCTCTGTTCCGTGTGCTCTCTGTCATGCATGCAGAGACGCCTCTTGTTCCAAGAAACAGGTGGTATCAAGGGGTTCGATCTGTTCCTTTGCTGGCTGAAAGGACATCAGCAATTTATATGTGACCGCTTTGGCTGGTCAAGCCGCAATTTCTTTTCTTGCAGTCCATTGTGTGCTGCCTCGGACTCTCCTTCCGGTTTCCTCCCATACTCCTCCCTCCCTTCCTTGCATGTGTGTTGCTCTGGTACTGTGGGAATGCCCAGGGCCAGCGAGGGTCACGTGTACGTGCAGTTTGAAACAGTGGCAGCAGCATCAGCGGCGCGCATGGCACTGCACAACCGGTACTTCGGTGGCAAGCCCATCAGTGCCACTTTTGTGGTGCGTGCATAGCCCTTCCTTTCCCTCGCTAGACTGCTGCTGACTGTTTGTTTTGCCGCTTCCCTTCTTATGTTCCTTGTGTTCGCAGACTCGTATACTCAGCTTCACAATATTCTTTTAACGCCCTAGGTTTCCTCGTGTGGCGTTGATTGTGTGCTGTCATTGTGTTGGGGGAGGGCTCGGTTGGAATTGTACGTTTTTGTGGCTATGCTTTGTGTGTGCAGGAAGCATCTAAGGCCAAGTTTGGTGTTAATGGGCAGGAAATCCCCACTTCAACTCACGCGCCAGTGATTGTGATGTAAATGACGTAGGGCGTAGCTTCTTTTCAGTGTTATTTTTCAGTGTTCTATGTCACCAAGTCTGGGAAGCATGATTTGGAGTTATGTATTTTGAAATTCTAGATGCGTTAAGGGAAACGATTTTTCTGTAACAACCCCTTTTTTTTTGCCGAGCAGGGTGCGGTACATGCACCCCTCCGTTTGTATCACCCAGTTTTTCCTCCATGTTCCTTGGAGTCAACTAACACCCTGGTTTCACCAAGCAAACCGAGGTGTCAGTCGCCTGCCAAATTAGAAATCGAATGCAAATGCGAATGATGACGCAACAGGCTCGGAAGGGCGAGCTGAGCCTTGTTTTGATGGGGCAGACGATTAAAAAATAAAATCAGAAGTATGTGGCGAGGCGAGCTTCAAGGTCTGAAAGGCCCCAAACCTTGAATGGATTCTCCCTGATTCCAATAACCTCTTCGCTTCCGCCGCTGGGCGGAAGAAAAATGCCAGGCAAATAGGAAACTAGTTCATTCCTCTGAAACCTCACGCAATATTGTCCAACACAGTAAGCTGCCCGTGGTTCGCTGGGCAGCAATTTCCCCAATCGATCAATCCCAGATTTGCACGCTTCGCCTTCGAGGTGCACGAGAACCTCGTCCCCCGGGCCCCACCTGCGCGTTTAGTATTCCGCGAACGTCACCTGGCGCGGCACCTGACATGCTCCGCTACCGAACCATCCCCAAGCCAAAAAAGGTTTCGAATTCCCATTCGAATATTTTTTCTGAAGTGGCAGCCGAACAACACCCGAAGCTCCTCCCTCTCACCACCAGCATGACGAAGACAACAGCGGCATTGCATTGACTTGCTTCGCTTTTCCCTCTTGCGTCCAAAGCAGCAGGCACAGTCCAGCGGGATTCGGGATTCTCGGGATCGACGGCTTGCATGACAGGAGAGCGTACGGGAGAAGGTGTCCCACCCACGTGGCCGCTTATGTCGTAGCGCCAGTAGGAGTTGACGTGTTGCAATCTTTCTAAAACAACCGATGTTTCGCCGAGCAGCAGCATCGCTCCCAGTCATTTGTTAGAACCTTGGTTAGCTCCGCTACTGTTGAGACGTCTCTAACCTTTTCTAAACCCACTAGCCTTCTACTACAGTACGGCATTACCCTACCAAGCTACTGCTGGGAACTAGCGGATCTTCAACCACCCCTAGCGTTCAGTAGAGTCAACGTTAAGCGGGATATTCTACAGCCGCCGCTCCACATGCCGCGTCAGCCGCGGATGGTTCCGCTCACCCATCTCCGCCTGCTCTCCGCGGTCCTCGCCGCGCTGACTCTGTCCCCCGCGTGTTTCCCCTCCCCGCCACTAGCGCGCGCGCAACTCTGGGCAAAGTCGCAGCGTGAGTGCGGGTTACCTCCCTCCCTCGTGCGGGACTTAGGCGCTACGGCTAGTACGGACAGATCCAGGCCAGTTGCGCCATCATATAATGCACTATCTGATCCTCACTCATTGGTTTCACGCACTCCTACTTTCCCACTCTCCTCCTTTTTCCCAATCCCAACCCCACATTTCCCCCCTCCCCCCGTCTCTCCCCGTCAAACTCCCCCCCCCCTCCCCTTTCCCCTCGTCTTCCCACGTGACAGTGCCGTTTCTGAAGGAGTGTCAGGCGGCGTGGAAGCGCAGCTTGAGCGGATGGGACGCGACTTCGAATTGCAGCAAAGCGGCTTTCGTGACATGCGACAAGGACGGCATGCTCACCAGCATGTGAGCGCATGGCATGGCATGGCATGCTCACCAGCATGTGAACCATGGCATTGCTTGCTACCCAGCCTGTTGCGCCAGTATATCATCCGTTTCGTTTTTTCTTTCCCATGTCCGCCTATTCCTCATCCTCCCTCTCGCTCCCTCCGTCGGTCTTCTCTCCTCCGCTCTCTCCCCTTCGTACCCTCTCTCTCTCTCTCTCTCTCTCTCTCTCTCTCTCTCTCTCTCTCTCTCTCTCTCTCTCTCTCTCTCTCTCTCTCTCTCAAGCGGTCCTTTATTATGTTTATAAGGGGTACAGGGGTACAAAACAGGGTTACGTATGTCCTGGTGTCCCCGAGCATCCTACTGCTGCCCGGGCCACCTGTCGCAGGTAGGTTCAATGGTGGCTTCCAGTTCTCCCCAGGTAAGAGGTTCGTCTAGGGGGCGGTCGTGGCTGAAAGCTTGGCCTGTCACCTGGCCAATCTTCGCATGGAGGGTGATTGCCTGCTGCCGCTGGATGGTGACGGACCACCTCTGGCGGTAGCTGTGCAGCACCTTCTTTGCCACCGCCGACTTTTCGTCGGCTTGGTGGTTCCGGCGAGCTGAGAGGGCGGCCAGTACTCGGAGGAACTCGAGTGTGTCGGGGGAGCAGCAGCCGTATGTCTCAGTGGCAACTCCCAGCACTTTCACAAAGGTGAGTCGTTCGTCGTACAGGTCCCGCTTCTTGCCCTGCATCTCTGCCGCCATCCACCCCGTCCCTTTCCGTGCTGTTGGGTCGCGGGTTGAGATGGGGTCGGTGACTGTGACGTCACAGACCCATACCGCGCCTGAGTCCGGGCATCGGAGGGTGATGTCGGCGCGGCGTTGGGCAGTTTCGGGTAGGTAGAGCGTGGATTCCATGTGGGCCACGAAGTGGGATTCTCGGGCCAGTCTCATCCCGAGGTTCACGAGCGCGTCGTGGGTCCGCTTTGGGCCCCCGCCCAGGGTACATCGTAGCATGTGGTTGGGCAGCCGGTTGTCTGGTATCTCATGCTTGTCACGGCAGTTGCATTTGCCGGGTAGGGAGTGCTGCAGGCCCATGCGGAAAGCTAGGGCCGTGGCAAATTGTCCTTTGCTCATGCATAGGTCCGGGGAGAAGGGGATGGCGACCAGCCAGTCCCCTGCCCCTGGCCCGAGCAGGGAGAGGAGGCGCTGGGTGTGACCCAGGAGGGGGTTGAGTGGCATGTGTTTGGAGTCTGCCACTAGCCGTGCGTGCCTGGCCCCATGTACCTCCAGTGCTAGGGCATGCTGTAGCTTGGCACCAGGTTCGTCGCGCGGGCGGGTGAGTGTGGACTGCGCTGGGTCGGGGAGTGCCGCTTCCAGGCAGTTGAGCAGGTGGTGTAGGGGCGTTTGGGCGGTGAAGGGCGGAGTGAGGAGGTGGAGGAGGTCGGCGAGGGGTGAGGAGTCAGGGGGTTCCATGGAGCGGAGGAGGTCACCGGCCTGTAGTGCGGAGGCCAGGTAGCTGTAGCTGCCTTCCGTGGCGGGGTCAATGAGGCCGAGACCTCCTATGGTGATCGGCAGGGTCGCCTGTCGCCAGAGGAGGTCTCGGCCTTCAGCGTCCCGCGGCTGCTGGAGCTCGCACGACTTGAGCGCTGCTTCCAGCAGGGACTTCCCCCACTGCGTCCATTCCTCGGGGGGGAGGAGGTCGGTGGGGGTGGTGCGGAGGAGGTAGGATGCCCTCCTCGTGATGCAGCGGGTGAGGAGCAGCAGCGCGACTTGCGGGTGCAGTTGCTCTACCAGGGGGAGCGCCGCTGCCGCTTTTTCAAGCGTGCGGCGGATTATGTCCCCGCATGCGTGGGTGGTGCCGATGGGGCTGCCCAGGACCTTGATTGCGTCGTGGGTGAGTGGTACTCCGGCTGGGATGAGCGCGGGGTCCACCGGTGCGGGTGACCAGGCCGCGCACTTGCTGGCGTTGCAGGTGAGTCCCACCGCTGCTGCCCGACCTGTGAGGGCATAGAAGGCGGCTGCGCATGCCGGCGGCGGGCCGATGATGGTCACGTCGTCGGCATATGCCAGTATGAGGACATCGGGGTATTCCTCTGCTGTCTTGGTCAGCGCCTGGTGGAGGGCGAGGGCGAACAGCATGGGGCCTAGCGGGTCGCCTTGCCGTACGCCCCGCTCGCTGAGGAGCGGGTCGGTGCCGAACGCGTGGTCGAGCAGCAGGCTCGATGGCCGTCCATAGGAGAGGCGGGTTAGGGGCAGCAGCCCTTTGAGAGGGCTGTCGCGTAGGGCGCGGAAGAAGGCGATGCGTTCGACTGAGTTGAACGCGTTGGAGAAGTCCACCTGGAGGAGGAGGTGTTCGGGGTGCTGTTCGAGGTGGGTTCTTGTTGCATGCACCGCCGTCTCGCCCCCTCCCTTCATCGCCACTCCGAACTGCAGGGGCGCGAAGTGGGCTTGGGCCAGGGTCGTCGTGAGGTGCAGGCTGGCTTTGCCGAAGAGGCGTAGTAGGCATTCGCCGATGGCGATGGGCCTGGTTCCGCCGTCGGGTTTGGTGAATGCCAGCAATCTCGAGGCGGTGAGGAGGTCCGCCGCCTCTAGCGGCACTTGCCCTGCGAGTGCCGCGTTGGTCACTTCCGTGAGCAGGTTCAGGACGTCAGCGTTCGAGGCGGCTGCGTCGCGCAGATGTTCGAAGCACATACCGCTTGGCCCCGCCCCGACCCCATTCGGGCTCCGTCGAAGTACGGTTCTGAGCTCTCGTGGGGTGATGGTGAGTAGCGGCTGCTGCGGTGCTGTAATGGCGTTGGTGGGTGGTGTGCCTGGGAATGTCGCCCAGTTGGGAAGGGCGTGTTCGGCGGCGGGGTGTTTGTCTCGGAGGGCGTTGAGTGTCTCCAGGGTGGGTTCGCACACCGGGGTGGATTCCAGGGCTTGGAGGGCCTTCCGCAGGTTTCCGCGCTTAGTGAGTGTTTCCGCTCGGGCTAAGTGCCCGGCGGTGTCATTCGCGTGGCGTGGGAGTCGTGGTAGTGAAATCGAGGTCACGGCCTCGTCGTACAGTGAATCCCAGGCGCCGGTGGCGAATTTGCGACAGCGTCGTAACATTCCGTCCCAGTCTGGCTTCCTCGTCGATGTGGTTGCGAGTGTCAGGCGAGGGAGGAGGAGTAACAGGCGCCAACCTCCTTTGCTGTCCTTGTTACGCGCGAGGTTTAGCAGCGGTGTCAGCAGGCAGGACGCGAACTCCGCCAGGATTTCGCGCGGTAGGCGACGTGCCAGGGGTGGGAGCCTGGAGTCGCGGAGCACGGTCATGTCCCACTCGCAAACTTTGGCGAAGAGTTCGTCGTTCTTCGCCAACGCCAGAGGGGATTGTACCCGCGCTGCAGGGGTTGGTCTGCGGACGACTGTCGAGCCGCGGCGGGTGTTGGATGTGGCGGCTCGTCGGTAGGGTTGGCCGGGCCGCACATTTGTGTCTCGGGCGGGGGAATCCAATAGGTCTCCCTCGTCTGGGGCGCCTTCCCAGTTTACCCCGATTGGGGGGGTATAAGTGGGGTCGTTTGCGTTTTGTATTTCAGCGTCCTCCTCATCAGCTCCCTCCGAGTTCCCTTCTGCTGCTCCCCTCGTAGCTCCTCCTCCTGGTGTGTCTGCCGCTGGAGCGTCAGGACTTGGCCAATTTTCCATCCCTCGGTCCGTCCCGCCGTCTCCCCCCGCTTCTGACTCTGTCGCTCTAGTGGCGTTGCTTGCTTCGGCGGCTGGGTGTGTTCCCCGTCGCCGATCTTCGCGTTGTAGACGCGCGGCGACGCCGCGGAAGGTTGCAGCTCTTGTCGGCGCTCGCCCGGGCCCTCGTCCGCCCCGCGTTCCTCTGCGCCCGCGGGTTGTGCTTCTCGCCCGCTCCCCCCCCGGGGCCGCGGTTGTACTTGCGCGGGCCGTGGCTCGCGTGTGCGGGGCTCTGCTTCTTTCCGGCTGCATTAGAGATGACGCAGGGGTTGCTCTTCTCCCCCTCGCGTCTGCCTCTACGTGAGGCGGAAGCGTCCCCGTCGCCGGTGGGTTCTCTGTCCGGCGTCTCGCTGGCTCTGTCGCCAACGTCTCAGCTGCGCTTGGAGTTTCGGCAGCAGCAGGTCCAAGTGGCAGCGATCGCGAGCGCCCTCGAGCAGCTCCTGCGGCTGCCTCGGTCTGCTGTTGGCGGCGGGGTAGCGTGTTCCCCGCCGTCGCCTGCGCCCGCGCCCGCGATTGGGCGAGAGGGTTTCGGGGGAAGTCCCATGGATCGCTCCCCGCGTCGTCCGGCTGCCCCGTCGCCGGCTCCGCCGTCGTCGTTTCCTTCTCCGTCTCGGCTTCCGCCGTCGCCCCGCCCACCGTCGCCCCTTCCGGTCCCTCCGGCCCCTCTGGCTCCCCCTCCTTCGAGGGGGTTCGCTGGTGGTCCCGACTCCTCCCCCCGCGGGGTCCTCCAATCACCTCCTCTGCCTCCTCCAAAGTCGCCAGCGGGACCACCAGCCTCTGTCGGACACGGCGTCGTATCGGGTCAGGGCGTGTCCGCGGGGTCTCCGTCCCCGCCGTTTCGTCCGATGAAGCGTCACCGCGGGGGCGGGGTGGCGGGCTCTCGGGCAGGGTCACCTCCGACCGTAGTGCCCGGAAGACGAAGGGACCGCTCTCCGCCACTCTCCGGTCGTCCTCAGGGGTCGGGTTTGCGGGTGGGGCGGGGTATGCCGCCGACACCAGTGGATGTGCTCGGCGATCCGCCGCCGCTTCCTCGTCCGCCTGTCCGTCTGGCGTCGCCGCACGCGTTCTCGCCAGTTGAGGCGATGGCCGGCGTCGTCGCCTGTATTGGCGCGGTGGCGGAGGTGTTGGATTGTCTCCGCCCTCCGCCGCTGCAGGCGCCTCCACGGAAACCTGAGGCTGGTCGGTCGTGGCGGCCCGCGATGTCTCGCCGCCAGCAGCGACGTGCGATGGAGGCCGCGTCGCTGCTCCTCTGGCGGCTGGCATATGGGTTGCCGCCAGGAGCAGAGGCGGGGGAGCTGGATCCCGCTCCTGGCGCCGTTGATGAGTTGAATCGGTCGCTCGTGGCGAATCAGCGCCCGGCGATCTTGGCCGCTTGCGCGGCGGTGGTTCGGGCTTTAGAGAGTCGGGCAGGGGCCCTTGTCCCGCCGTCGGCTTTGGAGGTGTAGTAGGTGGGCGGTTGTCTGGCGTGTAGGCCAGGTCCCCGCCATGATGCGCTGTGGGTGGCACCGTAGCCATAGGCTTTTCCTAGGTTGTAGCCCCCTGTGGAGGCATGCTTGTTTGCTGTAATGTCCCTTGTTTTGGACTGGATCACTGTCCCCGCCCCGTCTCTGCCCTCCTGCGCGGCCGGAGGCCGCGCCGCGAGCGACGGCGGCCGAAGGCCGCCGGCGCGAGCGCCGCAGCAGGGACCGGATGAAGAACTCAACTCGAAACTAATTAATGAACTCTAGGATGGGTGGAAGAGCCTTATATACCATGGGCTCTCTCTCTCTCTCTCTCTCTCTCTCTCTCTCTCTCTCTCTCTCTCTCTCTCTCTCTCTCTCTCTCTCTCTCTCTCTCCTCTCTCTCTCTCTCTCTCGCTCTCTCTCTCTCACTCTCGCGAGCGCCGCAGCAGGGACCGGATGAAGAACTCAACTCGAAACTAATTAATGAACTCTAGGATGGGTGGAAGAGCCTTATATACCATGGGCTCTCTCTCTCTCTCTCTCTCCTCTCTCTCTCTCTCTCTCTCTCTCTCTCTCTCTCTCTCTCTCTCTCTCTCTCTCTCTCTCTCTCTCTCTCTCTCTCTCTCGTCACCCCCCCGCATTCGCCCGTGCGCTGCCAGGGCCCTCTCGTCCCAGTCACTCACAGGCTTCATCCCAGCGTCAATAGGCGCGGCCACGCGCCTCTCGAAACTGTGAGTGCGCATGGCCCCCTACGCCACACACGAGTGGTGCCATGCCATGGGCACTCACTGCTTGCTGCAGCATGCGTGCATGCATAGTATCGTACAGCCGTTTGATGCGATTCTTCTGGTTGTGCATGTGCGTCGCGTGCTCTCGCGTGTCTTGCACATGTGTTTTCGGAGGCGGACAGTCACATCATCACATGCACACGTGTGTGTCTGCGCTCGCGCACACATGCGTGCGTGCGCACGCGCACGCGTGCGGGCTTGTGTTGTGTGTGCGTGGACCCTGCAGGGTGTTGTACAGCAACTTGCTGAGTGGTACCATTCCAGACACAATAGGCAACCTCCGCTCAATGCAATACATGTGAGCCACTGCACAAAATGCCATCGCACCACTCATAGTAGAGCAAAATAAGCACTCTGCTGCTATGGGCAAATCTCCACGGGCTCTCCAGCTTGTTCTCGAGCTTGTTCTCGAGCTTGTTCTCGAGCTTGTTCTCGAGCTTGTTCTCGAGCTTGTTCTCGAGCTTGTTCTCGAGCTTGTTCACCATCCCAGTTTTCTGTCGGGCTTCCATTCTTCAGTTTCTCCCCACTCCCCCCCCCTCTCTCCGCTGACGCCCTTGGCAGCGATCTCACATTCAACGCTCTGACGGGCGACATACCTTCCTCCATCGGAAACCTTGCCTTCCTCACTTTCTTGTGCGGACATGCTTCGCTTCGTCATGCTTCATTCACCATGCTTCACCATGCGCTTCACCATGCTTCACCATGCTTCACCATGCTTCACCATGCTTCACCATGCTTCACCATGCTTCACCATGCGCATAACGTGCACATGCGCTCATCATGCCCTCTCCACTCATCTGCCTCTCTTTTTGCTTCTCCGCCTCTATCTCTCTTGCTGCCACACCAGCTACTAACCCTCCCTCAACCACCCCCTTTCCCGCTCTCCCCCTGCCCCCACGCCCCTCAGCTCGGTGTCCCATAACCGACTGGATGGCACCGTGCCCAGCACCATCGCCCGCCTCACCAAGCTGCAGCGGCTGTGAGTCCCATGCACACATGTACATACATACATACATGCATTCATCCGCCATCCGCCATATCCCCATCTCGCCAGGGAGGGGGAAGAGCAGGACCTCGTCCAGACTCTGTTTTTGAGGCGCCTCAAAACTCGTCCAGGCTCTGTCTGCTGCCCCCACTCGCGCTTTCCTGCTCCTGCCTCTCGCCCCTCCCTCCGTTCCGTTCTTCCATGCGTTCGTTCATCGCTCCATTCACCGCACCCTTCATGCCTCCTCTCTCTGCCCCCCTCCCCCTCTTCCCTGTGCTCGCCTGCACCCGCCTCCCTGTTCCTCCAACCCTGTACAACCAACCCCCCCCGCCCGCCCACCCCTCTTTTGTCTGCCTGCGTCTTCTCTTATCTGTCGTCCTTCTATTTGCTTCCCCTCTTATCCGCCTGCCCTCTTATCCGCCTGCCCTATTATCCGCCTGCTCTCTTATCCGCCTGCCCTCTTATCCGCCTGCCCTCTTATCCGCCTGCCCTCTTATCCGCCTGCCCTCGGCAGGAGCGTGTACAACAACTCGTTCTCGGGTGTCATTCCCCCAGCCATCTATGGGCTCACCACCCTCACACTGCTGTACGCTCAGCACCCATGCATGCACCCATGCTCCCATCCATGCTCCCATGCATGCACCCATGCCCCCATCCATGCACCCATGCATGCAGTCTTCGCCATGGGCAGGAACCATCACTCTCCTAATTCTTGCTTGAATCACATCGAGTCACGCGCATGCATGCATGCATGGACACATGGACACATGGACACATGGACACATGGGCTCTTGTATGCATGGTGTGTTTTGTATACTCCCTGTGCCTCCCTTCCTCCTCCATCCCCACTCCTTCAGCAACCACCACAGTCCTCTCACACGCCATGCCATGCCATGCCATGCCATGCCATGCGTGCCCTCCCCCTCCCCCCTGTGAGCAGCGAGATGGGCCGTAACTACTTCACGGGCTCCTTCCCCTCGCAATTCGGCGACCTCATCAACCTCGTGTACCTGTGAGCCCGCTGCATGCACCACCCGCATGTGCCATGCGCCATTTGCGATGTGCCAGGATGATACGTGATGTGACGTGTGCCCATGTGATATGTGACGTGTGCTATGTGCCATGTGCCGTTGTCCTCTTTCAAGTCCATAAATTGTGAACAATCAGATGTTGCAAGCTACGTGGGAGAATTCGCGTTCCGCGTAAATACTCGAAACGCTTGGGTCCTGTTTCAAATACGCTTGGGAAATACGCTACATCGGGCAGGTTAAAAATTTGCCCGGGCAGGGATACTAACCAGTTATTCGCTAGTAGGTTAAGGTTCGTCGTACGCTAATGTTTATCGTACGCTAGTAGGCTAAGTTTGCGCTAGTAGCTGTGACTACTAAGGTTAAGTACCAGTCAATACGCTAGTAGGCTAAGGTTCGTCATAGCGACTAGAACTGCTCGGTTTCGGTCTACGGCTAGGGAGATTGACAGGAGAGAGGGCTGGAGCAGAGCGTGCTGTTTGTGTGAGTCACCTGAATTGAGGAGTGGTGGTTGGGTTGGGTTTCCTAGATTGTGTTGGGTGGGATGTGGTTGGGTGGGAGCACAAGAGGTGTTGGGGTAATGTTTGGAGGGACAAAAGTGGTGCTAGCAATTTGGCGAGACCAGAATTGGCTTCGCCATCTTGCGAAGTCTTGAGAAAAAGGCTGGGCTGCCTGGAAAATTTCCCCGAATTTGCATATTTCCTGAAATTCGCGTTCTGCGTATTTACGCTAGTGTATTTACGCAGAACGCTTTCCTGCTCTAGCGAATTCTCTCACTTAGGTTGCAAGGGGCTTTGCAGTAAGCTTGCTGACTTTTAGTCTTTCCTGCTCTTCCTCATTTAGCTCTTGAGCGTTCATACCCCACTCCACCATACATGTCACATCTTGCACCCTTTGGTTGGACATGTGGCATGTGGCATATGGTATGGGGTATGTGGTATGTGGTATGTGGTGTGGGATATGGGGTATGGGATATGGCATGGCAGGGAGGCAGGCAACATGGGCCTGAAAGGCGAGCTGTACTCAACCCTGGGCAATCTAAAAAACCTGCAGGCGCTGTGAGTCACTGCGAGGTGCTGCCAGCGAGTCACTGCTGGGGATCCATCTCACCTCCTCCATGCAGCCCTCTGCACTCAAACCATACACCCACTCGCACACACCCAGCTGCTACACTGCACCCAGCTGCTACACCGCACCCAGCTGCTACACCGCACCCAGCTGCTACACCGCACCCAGCTGCTACACTGCACCCAGCACGCAACTCTCAACTCTCAACTCCCCTCACTCAGTCCTCGCTCCCTCACTCTCCCCCCGCTTCTCTCCGCCGTTCACCCCTCCAGGTATGTGCGTGAGAACGCACTGCAAGGCACCATCCCTGCCAGCCTGGGCCGCCTGAAATACCTCACTGACCTGTAACCTCCTCCCAACCCCATGCCTCTGCTGCCCATGCCTCTGTTGCCCATGCCTCTGCTGCCCATGCCTCTGCTGCCCATGCCTCTGCTGCCCATGCCTCTGTTGCCCATGCCTCTGCTGCCCATGCCTCTGCTGCCCATGCCTCTGTTGCCCATGCCCCTGTTGCCCATGCCCCTGTTGCCCATGCCCCTGTTGCCCAATGCCTATTCCTACTTATGCCATGCCCACTTATCCCATTCCAGATATTTTCCGTCTCACTCCTCCGCACCTTTTCCCTATGGCCTCCCATGCCGTGCCGTTGTATCTCCTCCTCCCTTCCTCTCTCCTCGGACCCTCGCCTCACCTCTCCAGCCTGCTTTCTTATTCTTCTTCGTATTCCCACATGCATAAACACGCCCTGACATGTCTCCTACCTCCGTGCTCCATCCATGTTCTTCTCCTCCACTCTCCCCTCCCCCCTTCCCCTCTCTCCTCTCCCTCTTCCTCTCCCCCCCCCAATCTCTCCACCTGTCGTCACTCTCTCTCTGCACTGCGCCGACTCTCTGCACGGCAGTCAGCTGGGCGGCAATCAGCTCACAGGGTCCATCCCTGCTTCCTTCTCCAACCTCGTCAACCTGAAGGGCCTGTGCGTCTGCCCCTCCCCTCCGCTCCTCCCCTCTGCCCCTCCCCTCCGCTCCTCCCCTCCACTCCCCCCCTCTGCCCCTCCCCTCTGCTCCTCTCTTTTCTCATCTCGCTTACGTCCTACATGCGTTGACCAACGACATGGACACAAACCACTTTGCATCAATTCCTGTTTCTCCTCTACCTCGCCCCCGCTCTCCTTTCCCCCTCTTCACCTCCGCCCTCCTGTCTCCCATTCAGCTACCTGTGGACCAATCGGCTGAACGGCTCTCTGGATGTCGTCACCAACTACACTGCCCTGCAGCAGCTGTGAGCCGAGCTGCCATGCTGTTATGCTGCCATGCTGTTATTCTGCCATGCTGTTATTCTGCCATGCTGTTATTCTGCCATGCTGTTATGCTGCCATGCTGTGTTGTTACTTGCCATGTCACACTCTGTGTCCATCAGTCTGCCTGGCCTTGTTTAAGCAGAACCAAGTTGAGCAAATGATTCCCCTTCTCCTTTGTTCCCCAAGATCTCATTATCCCCAGTCCTGGTGCGCCTTTCCCCTCCATCACCCCCCATGGCGGCCTTTTTTCTCACAGAGCGGTTCAGTACAACCAGTTCACAGGGTCGATTCCCAATGCCATTGGCCAGCTCAAGGGACTCAACCACTTGTCAGTCATTGGTGCCCATGCACACGCACAGGCACACGCACACGCACAGCACATGCACAGCACACGCACAGCACACGCGTACGCATATGCTTACGCACATGCACACGCACATGCGTTTGCATATGCACAGGCAGATGCACATGGACACGTGTACACACTTGCGCATGCACATGCAATGATGCACATGCATACCCACAGGCACATGCATACCCACAGGCACATGCATACCCACAGGCACATGGATACACACAGGCACATGGATACACACAGGCACATGGATACACACAGGCACATGGATACACACAGGCACATGGATACACACAGGCACATGGATACACACAGGCACATGGATACACACAGGCACATGGATACCCACAGGCACATGGATACACACAGGCACATGGATACACACAGGCACATGGATACACACAGGCACATGGATACACACAGGCACATGGATACACACAGGCACATGGATACACACAGGCACATGGATACACACAGGCACATGGATACACACAGGCACATGGATACACACAGGCACATGGATACACACAGGCACATGGATACACACAGGCACATGGATACACACAGGCACATGCATACACACAGGCACATGGATACACACAGGCACATGGATACCCACAGGCACATGGATACACACAGGCACATGGATACACACAGGCACATGCATACCCACAGGCACATGGATACACACAGGCACATGGATACACACAGGCACATGGATACACACAGGCACATGGATACACACAGGCACATGGATACACACAGGCACATGGATACACACAGGCACATGGATACACACAGGCACATGGATACACACAGGCACATGCATACACACAGGCACATGGATACACACAGGCACATGGATACCCACAGGCACATGGATACACACAGGCACATGGATACACACAGGCACATGCATACCCACAGGCACATGGATACACACAGGCACATGGATACACACAGGCACATGGATACACACAGGCACATGGATACACACAGGCACATGGATACCCACAGGCACATGCATACACACAGGCACATGGATACACACAGGCACATGGATACACACAGGCACATGGATACACACAGGCACATGGATACACACAGGCACATGGATACACACAGGCACATGGATACACACAGGCACATGGATACACACAGGCACATGCATACACACAGGCACATGGATACACACAGGCACATGGATACCCACAGGCACATGGATACACACAGGCACATGGATACCCACAGGCACATGCATACACACAGGCACATGGATACACACAGGCACATGGATACACACAGGCACATGGATACACACAGGCACATGGATACACACAGGCACATGGATACACACAGGCACATGGATACACACAGGCACATGGATACACACAGGCACATGGATACACACAGGCACATGGATACACACAGGCACATGGATACCCACAGGCACATGGATACCCACAGGCACATGCATACCCACAGGCACATGCATACCCACAGGCACATGCATACACACAGGCACATGCATACCCACAGGCACATGCATACCCACAGGCACATGCATACCCACAGGCACATGCATACACACAGGCACATGCATACCCACAGGCACATGCATACCCACAGGCACATGCATACCCACAGGCACATGCATACACACAGGCACATGCATACCCACAGGCACATGCATACCCACAGGCACATGCATACCCACAGGCACATGCATACCCACAGGCACATGCATACCCACAGGCACATGCATACCCACAGGCACATGCATACACCACAGGCACATGCATACCCACAGGCACATGCATACCCACAGGCACATGCATACCCCACAGGCACATGCATACCCACAGGCACATGCATACACACAGGCACATGCATACCCACAGGCACATGCATACCCACAGGCACATGCATACCCACAGGCACATGCATACCCACAGGCACATGCATACCCACAGGCACATGCATACCCACAGGCACATGCATACCCACAGGCACATGCATACCCACAGGCACATGCATACCCACAGGCACATGCATACCCACAGGCACATGCATACCCACAGGCACATGCATACCCACAGGCACATGCATACCCACAGGCACATGCATACCCACAGGCACATGCATACCCACAGGCACATGCATACCCACAGGCACATGCATACCCACCACTCCACAGGCACATGCATACCCACAGGCACATGCATACCCACAGGCACATGCATACCCACAGGCACATGCATACCCACAGGCACATGCATACCCACAGGCACATGCATACCCACAGGCACATGCATACCCCACACATGCATACCACAGGCACATGCATACCCACAGGCACATGCATACCCACAGGCACATGCATACCCACAGGCACATGCATACCCACAGGCACATGCATACCCACAGGCACATGCATACCCACAGGCACATGCATACCCACAGGCACATGCATACCCACAGGCACATGCATACCCACAGGCACATGCATACCCACAGGCACATGCATACCCACAGGCACATGCATACCCACAGGCACATGCATACCCACAGGCACATGCATACCCACAGGCACATGCATACCCACAGGCACATGCATACCCACAGGCACATGCATACCCACAGGCACATGCATACCACAGGCACATGCATACCCACAGGCACATGCATACCCACAGGCACATGCATACCCACAGGCACATGCATACCCACAGGCACATGCATACCCACAGGCACATGCATACCCACAGGCACATGCATACCCACAGGCACATGCATACCCACAGGCACATGCATACCCACAGGCACTGGCTCTCAGATCGTTCTCTCTCTTCCTCGCCCACTGAATGCGGCCTCCAGTGCGTGCTTGTTGTGTTGAGTGGCCCTGCTATGCTGCCCTGGGTTCTGAAATATGGGCCGTGGAATGGACATGGCACATGGGGGATGGGACATGGGGTATGGTGCATGGGGCATGTGGTGCAATGGCAGTGGACTGGCGAGCAACAAGCTCTCAGGCCCCATTCCAACGGCTATCGGCAACCTCCTCAACCTCACCGTCTTGTCAGTACCAAGCTACCGACCCTGCTGACTGCGCTACCCTGATGTTATCGCTCACCTGCGCTGCAAGCGATTTCCTCCCATCTCTTGCCTTTCCACACCACATGTGACTCTGCCATTTGTGCTGATTTTGCCCTTTTCCTGCTGCGCATACATTGCCCCTATTCGTGCACCTGTCAGGCTAACATTAACATCCACTGCTTCCGTGCCCAGCCCATGCGTTCTCCCCTTCTTTTCCCTCCCTCCCTACCAACCTGACTGCCTGCTTGCCACTCTTTATCCCCCGTTTCTCACTTCTTTTCCCCCATATCGTCCCTCTCTCTTCCCCCGTCTCTCTTCCCCCGTCTCTCTTCCCCCGTCTCTCTTCCCCCGTCTCTCTTCCCCCGTCTCTCTTCCCCCGTCTCTCTTCCCCCATCTCTCTTCCCCCATCCCTCCTTCCACCTTGCGGCTCCCTGTCCATCCACCCCGCGTCTGCAGCAACGTGTCGCACAACACCCTCACCAGCTACCTGCCCGCCTCCATGGCCGCCCTCACTAGCCTCATAGCCATGTGCGACCCTTTCTCCCTTTCCGCCCCCCCCGCCCCCCTTAAAGCCCCAAACCCCCCCTCCATCACCACCACCCCCTCAACCCCCCGTATTGCACTCATTTGAGTGCTTGTGTCTCTTGAGTCACGTAAACACAGACTTCCACGTAACTGCGACCCATCTGACATACAGGAAACGTAAACTAGTCTGGAAGCGTAATCGAATTATCCAACAACTAAGCGATTGTGTGTACACATATCATCCCCCACTCCCATTCGTCTTTCTTCCCTAAGCACCTCCGCCTGACACCTCCCCCTCCCCACTTCCTCCTCCCCCTTCACTCCTTCCTCCTCCACCTCGTCCCCCGCCTCCCTTTCCTCCCCCTCCTCCCCCTCTCCCCCCTCTACCCCGCCGTCCCCCCCTCAGTGAGTACGCGCAAGACCCCCCGGGGTCGGTGGTGTGTCCGCCGAGCTTGAAGTGGCAGTGCGGACCCATTAACTCATCGGGGGCGGGCATCCTCGTGCTGTACTGCACCAAGTGCGTCAACTTCTGCGTCTTCTGCTACCTGCAGCAGAGTGAGTTCGCCGTGCCCGTGCCCGTGCCCATGACCATGCCCGTACCCGTGGCGACTCAGGCAGAATGAGCCTTAACTGTGAGGCCCAGTGAGCTAGGCTTGGCTCGTTGATGTGCTCTGCTCTGTGAGGGACGACCTCCGTCCTCCGTCCTCCGCACTGCAGTTTGAGACAGACAGGCGCATTCAACGAGCAGGAGACATGAGGGCTTGCTGGTAGGCTGGTAGGCTGCTCATCGTCGGTGTCCACTAGCAGTTCCTCTCCATCAAACCCCACCCTCCCCCCCCACCCCCTGGCTCCCCACCCTGCTCCATCGCAGCTCTTCCACCTATGATCAAGCTCCCTCCGCCATCGCCACCAGCCAGCCCCCCGCCAGCATCCCCACCACCACCGCCACCCATCTCTCCCCCACCACCCGCTCCTCTCCTCTCACCTCCCCCCCATCCGCCATCTCCCTCCCCCCCTCCCCCTTCTCCCCCTCCTCCCCCTCCCACCGCACCGCCTTTCTCTCCATCATCCCCTTCCAGCGCCCCCCCTCCGCCCTCCTCCTCGGGGCTGTCAGTGGGGGCCATTGCTGGCATTTCAGTGGCGGGCGTTGCCCTGCTCGCCGTGCTGCTGCTGCTGCCGCTGCTGCTCTTCTGCAGGCCAAGACCGAAGCCGCAGCCGCCAATTGATGCGACGGCGGCTGCTTCTTCTGCGGCAGCTGCTGCGGCTGGTGGCGGTGCATCAGGTGATAGATGCAAGCGCATGTATGCAACGAGTACGGTATGGTGTTTATCCTCCACGGTGCAGCTTTGACGGGAGTCAATTCACACTATACCACTCCATGTGCCAAGCCCTTTCCCCTGTATCCCATTTAAAGGTGTCTTCCAAATCCCTGTTCTTCCAGTCCTCTGCTCTCTCTATTTCCTCGCCCACTGAGATACTGCCTTCTATACCATCCATGCTTCGCTCACAGTCTCCTCTGCCAACCGCTTTGAGACGTCTCAAGACCAACCTTGTATCACGCCATTTCCTCGCCCACTGAAGTCCTGCCTTCTATCCATCCAAGCTTCGCTCACACTCTTCGCTGCCTACCACGCCCGCCCAACCCTCTCCTGCAACCCTCACTTTGCTTGGAACTCCCGTCAGGTGGTACGAGTGGGTCTAAGGACCCGTCGGGGTCCAGCCAAGCACTGGTGGTGGCAGGAGGGGGCGTGGGAGGGCCAACGGTGTGCCGGCAGTACCGGCTGGAGGTGCTGGCGGCGGCGACGGGCACGTGGGCCGAGGCCAACAAGATCGGCAGCGGGGGGTTCGGGGATGTGTACCGCGCTCAGGACCCCGCCGATCCGTCCACACTGTGGGCTGTCAAGCGTGCCAAAGTGCTCACCAATGACTTTCGCCGGGAGGTGAGAGCAGTGGGATGCGTGTGGGGATAGGAATTGATCACGAGTAATTTCGCGAGGGTATTGATGATAGTGGGATGCGTACAAGAACAGTAGCTGATGCATAGTGTGCTCATCAATGACTCCCGCAGGGCGGGGTGGTTGCTGGGAAGTTCACCTGCTTTCCCTCTTGTTGACGTGTCCCTCCATACTGTGTGCACGTGCCTTTCCTCTCTCTCCTCCCTGCTGCCCGCTCTCCATGTGCAATTAGGTGAACGAGATGGCGTCGAAGCACCACCCGCACCTGGTGCGCTTGCTGGGGTTCTGCATCGACGTGAATAGGGCCACGGAGCAGACGGAGCAGATCCTCATCTACGAGTTCATGCCTAACGGCGACCTCGAGAGGTGGCTGGGGCCAGGTATGCTAACGTGCCCACTTCTTCTTGTGCCTGGCATGCACGTTTGAATTATGCTCGTCTCACTTGTTTGCATGTGGCTCTGAATCTTGTTGCTGTTGACTTCAGAGAGATCCACGTGAGCAAGATTCGATATATTCCATACGACTGTGGCATGGTCGTATGGATTCTGTTGACAGTTCCACTTGCTTGCACTTCCCTGCCCGTCTTTCTGTTTGCGTATCACTTTCTTTGCTGCTGCAGGTGCGGCGCGGCCGCTGTCGCTGGTGCAGCGAGTGGACGTGATGATCGGCATGGCGGAGGGGCTGCAGTACCTGCACAGCTTTGGCATCGTGCACCGCGACATCAAGCCCGCGAACATCCTGCTGGACAGCAACTTGCAGGTGACCATGCAGCCATGGCTACGCAGTGTCTGTGCAATGCACTTCCACCCAGTGACATACACATGCACATATGCTTGGTGTTGCTCGCTCCCATGTTCCGTGGCAGCATGCACAATAAAGAAGCACTTCTTCTTTCTCCTCTCCTTGTTTCTTTTCCTTGGACTGGCGGTGCCGTCCATTGCAGGCGAAGGTTGCAGACTTTGGGCTGGTGAGGATGGGCGAAGGCACCACGGTGGGAGCCACGCGAGTGATGGGAACACCGGGCTATGTGGATCCCGCTTACTACAAGTCACAGAAGGCCACCCCCATGGCTGATGTGCACAGGTAAAGACTGGAACAAGATGGTACGAAGCTCCATGTGCACAGGTATGGGAGATTTGTGGTGGCTTTCTGCAGATTTTCTTGAGATTTCTTGTGCTCCTTCCCATCTGTAATTTGCTTCCCATCACTTCTTGCTGCCCTTGTCCGTCCCTTCGTTGTCTCATCTATTCCCATCTTCCCTGCCTCGTTGCTTTCCCGTTGTGTGCCTCCCTCTTTGTCGCAGCTTTGGTGTTGTCATGCTGACGATCCTAACGGCTCGCAAAGCCATCTACAACAGTGAGGACAGCCAGATCAACCTCAAGCAATGGGTCGGTGAAGCGCCCGCTGTTGTGCTCATGCCCATCTGCATGCCCATCCGCATGCCCATGCGGCCATGCCTGCTTGCATGCATGCACGCACCACCACTCACATTCTTTACCAACATTGCTGTTTCAATCCATGCGCTCATACGCACCTACACTTTCGCACACTCATCCCCATGCATCTTCCACCCATCCTCGTGCTTTAACCTTTTTGCCATCGTTGTCCACCCTCCCTGCCTCTCTCCTCTCCTCTCCTCTCTCCTCATCTCCTTCCCCCCATCCTCCCACACCAGGTGGCGCCATTCGTTGCGGCCAACGACGGGGTGACCTTCAAAGACCCGGCATTGGATGCCCCGACGGACATCATCCTGCGGCTGGCCCGCCTCGCGCTGAGCTGCACGGCCATGCCAACGGCGTCCCGCCCCAACATGATCAAAGTGCTGGCGGAGCTGGAAGGCATCCGGGAGGAGGCCAGCGGCAGAGCTGGGGATCGAATGGCCATGCGGATTGATAGTGAGATCGATGAGACGAGGGGGCATGACATTGAGGAGGAGGTGGCCAATGCAATTAGGATCGGGTCTAACAGGGATAGTGAGTGAGTGAGTAGACTGAGTGAGTGAGTGAGTAGACTGAGTGAGTGAGTGAGTAGAGGGGTGCAGCTGGGGACGGGGTAGCACTGGAAGCCCCGGCCGGCAGACATCTAAACTGCATGGCCATGCCGACAGCGTTGCACCCCAGCACAGTTTTAGTGCTGGTGGAGCCAGAAGGTGTCAGGTTTGTGGCGCGCTGGGGATCAGATGGCCAGGCGGATCGACACGGAGATCGGTGAGACGAGGGGGCATGGCATTGAGGAGAAGGTGGCCAACTGTCAACTCATATTTATATGTTGTTATAGGCTAGATAAGTGCATGCTTTTAGAGAGTACAGAGCAAGTAGAGCCCACCCACCCTCGCTTCCGCTCTAGCCACTGTAGTGCGCCCTGCCGCGCCACGCGCGCCGCGCTGCCGTGTTTTGCTGGCCCCTAGCTCGCCACGCTGGCCCTAACTCGTATCTATTAGCCCTAGCCCGCGCCCTAGCCCGCTGCCCCCCCTAGAGCGCGCCGCACGGCTCCTAGCCAGGCCCCCAGATTGGTTTTGGACCACACTGATCGATCAGGCTCCCCCCCCAAAAAAAAACTTTTCGTCAGGGTCGGTACCGTGTTTTGCCCTGAATTTGCGGGGTTGGTACTGCGGAGAACACTGAATGATCAGGGTTAAGGTGGGAATTGTTGGGCTGAGAAAAGCCCTTAGGATCTTTTGCAGAGACTAAGTCCCAGCTTGTAGAGACTTGAGACTTGGAGTAGTGCAGCGGAAGTTGAGACAGTTGAACCCTTGTACTAGTATGTGAGAACAAGTGATTGATTAAAGAAACAAGCATACAGCAATATATAGAAGATAAGAAAGCAGTTGCAGAGTACAGTTACAGGAACGGTTTATCGAGTCGCATAGCGACTCGATTGCCGCTTCGGTTACCATCCGTGATGCTGTAACGGTCAGTCGCAACCTCCAGTTGCGACCCTTTGAGTCCCAGACCCTTCGTGTTCTTTGTCCGCCCCCTTGTGTAACCTCCGTTGACTCGCGTACCCCTTGCAATCTTCCTCGAGTGTAGTGTTACACTTCAGAAACGCTTAAGTCTTTTGATGTACTTTCAACACTCCCCTTCGTTTCTGGAGTGCTGACTTGTTCAGGTCCGATGACGTTTGTTTGTCCGGTCAGCACCATGCAGTAGTCGAATTTTGCCTTCGCCAATTTCTTCGTCAAATAGTCTGCGGCCATTTCTGTCGTCGGGCAGTAACTGAGTTGAAGTCTCCCCTTCGCGATTTCATCCTTGACGAAGAAGTACCGCAGGGCGATGTGCTTGGTTCGGTTGGCGAAGCCGTCCTTGTTTGCGATTTTGATCGCAGATTGGTTGTCGCAGAAGAGTGAGAAGGCGGGCAGGGTCGCGATCTTCGCTTCCTCGAGTAACTCTCGCAGGTAGAGTCCTTCCTTGGTCGCGGTACAAAGGGCGATGTACTCTGCTTCAGCAGAGGATAGTGCGATTAACTCCTGCTTGCTCGACTGCCAGGAGATAGTTCCGACGGGTTCTAGTCGGTAGATGTAGCCCGTCCTAGATCGTCGATTTTCCCTATCTCCCGCGTGGTCGGCGTCGACGTATCCGAGTAGTTGTACGGACGATGTTGTAGCTTTGCTGTAGGTAAGTCCGATCGTCGGCGTGGAGATGAAGTAGAGTAGTGCCCGGTTGAGCTCCTCGAGATCCTCCTGTTCCGGTTGCTTCAGATGCGTCGCCAGTTGACTTGCACTATAGGACAGGTCGGGTCGGCAGGTTACTGCTGCAAATAGTAGGCAGCCGAGCTTCTGTTGGTACTCCTGGATTTGCTTCGCGGGGAGTTTTGCGGAGGCGCTGTTGTTGTTTCCGTAGCGGTAGGGAGTTGAGGCGGTAGCCGGTGTTAGTCCGAATTTCTTCGCGACAGTACCTGCGTACTTTCCAGCGTGTAGGTAGAACGCCGAGTTGTCTTCGACGATATTTAGCCCCAAGTACTGGGTTACTGAGTCGGACACTGTGAGCGTCAGGTCCCCTTTCAGCTCCCCTTCGAACCGGGTGACGATGTCGGTGGTAGAACCGATGTAGAGCAGGTCGTCGACGTAGACGATGAGCAGAATGTAATCTCTTCCCTTCTGCAGTCGGTACATGCCTTGGTCATGTGGTAGCTGTAGGAAGCCGATTTTTACGAGACGGCTGTGAAGATGCTGCTGCCAGAGCCGCGGGGCTTGCTTGATCCCGTATAGGGATTTTGTCAGTCGGCATATTTTCGTGGGGTCGTCGATGAATCCGTGGGGTTGTTCGACGAAGATCTCAGCGTCCACAGGTGCGTATAGGAACGCATTCGCGACATCGATTTGGCGTAGTGGCAGTTTTTTCGTGGCCGCGACGGCGAGTAGGATGCGTAATGAGGTGTGACGGGAGACTGGAGCGAAGGTTTCTGTGTAGTCGGCTCCGTATCGTTGGTCGAAGCCTCGTACGACCCATCGAGCTTTGAATCGTTCGACGAAACCGTCTGAGTTGGTCTTGATGCGGTACACCCATTTCCCCGAGAGAACGTTTTTTCCGTTGATGCTCGTTGCAGGTACCAGTTTCCACGTTTCTCGGTCTTGCAGAGCTTTTAACTCCTTTTCCATTGCTTCCTTCCATCTTGCCTTATGTTCCCCTCCCAGAGCCTGCGACAACGTTGAAGGCTCTCGCGGAGAAGGCGGCGGCGGATTCTGGACGGAGACCCAGAGGCCTAGAATCTGGAGTCCCGTGGGCGTGTGTCGAGGGGAATTTTCATTCCCGGAATAAGCTGCTTCGTCACCGTCTTCGGGGTCAGGTAAGAAATTGGGGCCGATGCGTTCCGAAATATTCGTGTCGACGGGGTGAGGTGTAGTGTAACCTTGGTCGGCGAAGTGGTAAAAGGTGTCGAGGTTGTTGCTATCGAGGGGATTATCTTCATCGAGTGGAACAGGTACGGAACAGAATGGGAGTGGTCCGGCAGCTTCCGAGGCTCCAGGTACGTCTTCTTCTGCTGCGTCAGCCTCGGCAGTGTGGTCAGCGAAGGAGCGAAGGCCCGCGAAGCCGTCGGTGGGGTCTTGTGTGTTGGCAAGGTTGTCCAGGTAATGCTGCAGCGTCAGTCGTTCGTAGAAGATAACATCGCGTGATGCCACCGTGTTTTTGTCTTGTATGTCGAGAATTTTCCACGCGTGAAAATGTTTTGCGATGCCGAGGTGTAGTCCCCATCGAGCTCTTTGTGAGAAGCGTCCTGCTCGGGCTGTGTGGGGTCTGTACTGTACCATGCAGCCGAAAACGCGGAGTAATTTTGTGCTGCCCCTTTTTCTTGTCCACAACAGGTGCGGCGATGCGTTGTTGGGAAGTGATGACGAGGACAGCAGGTTGTGCAGGTGAACAGCATGTGTCATCGCGTCTGGCCACAGTGCGTTGGGCAGCCTCATCCCCAGAAGCAGTTTTCGCATCGTCGTCTGCAAGGTCCGGTTCATGCGTTCTGCTACCCCCTGCTGCTGGTGAGCATAGGGCAGAGACACCAGGCGTCGGATTCCCCTTTCCGCGAGATAGGTCCTGAATCGTTGTGACTGGTATTCCAGTGCACCGTCTGACTGGAAACTCTTGAGTTTGGTTCCTGACTCTCGTTCGGCGATTGGAAGCCATGTGGTGAAGGCCTCGAAGGCTTGATCGCGCGTTTTGAGATTGAAGTGCCAGACGTATCTGGTTGCGGCGTCGATGAACGTGATGACGTAGTTGAAGTCGGCTTCGGTGTCGTCTCGAGGCATGTTTAGAATATCGCTGTAGACCTTTTCCATCGGAGCGTAAGTGGGTGCGCTTGGATTGTGATGGGCTGGGAAAGGTTGATGAGGAAGATCTGCTTCGGGGCATGTGAAGCACCGTGCTCGTGGTCGTCGAAGTTCTTGACCGCTCGTCGTCAGAAGGGCGTTGCGTTCTAACACCTCTGCTTGGATTGTTTGAAGTATTGTGCTGTTTGCAGGGTGTCCGAGGCGTTGGTGCCAGATGTCGTCGGGAGCACGGTGACCGGGCGAGCGGTGGTAGATGTCGGCGTTGGATAAGAACGCGACGACTGAGGCGGGACTTCGACAAGCTTCTCGTGTGGCGGGCATAAGTTGGTCTGCTTCCGTTGGCGATCCTCGTGTTGATGGTGGTGGTACTCGGCTGGGTCCTGCTGCCGATACTGCAGGTGATGGTTTTGTTGGGACACTTGCGGGTACTTGTCTTTCTTGTCTGATAACTGCTAATGCTCGTGTTCTCTCTGCTGCAGGTATGGTGTTGGAGTGCCAGAAGCCGTCACTGTCGAAGTCGGGATCAAGATCCGGCGGGTGAGTCCAGGCGGCGAACGATACGATGCCATCGCTGTCGGCAGTTCCGCGGTCGGGGACGAAGTCCAACACGAAGACACCGGACTTCAGGAGGGCACGACCGATGAAGAGACCGCCCTTCCCGTGGTAAAGTCGGAACTCGTTGGAGAAGGAGTCGCACTCCAGGTGAATCCCCTTAGCCATTAGTTGGCTTACGCTTAATAGGTTGTATCCCAGATTGTCGACGATGAGGACCTTGTTGAGCTGAAGAATAACGTTTGTCTCCATTGATTGTAACTGAACCACGCCTTGTCTATTTGTTTTCAGGTTTTCGTTGTTGGCGACGGTGATGACGACGTCACGGTTGAGGCGTCGCTCGTGTTGTACGAAGCGTCCGGAGGAGCACATGTGCTGACCGCAGCAACTGTCCAAGAACCAGGTGTTTCGCCCGGTGGGTTCGGCGTTGGCGACTGCAGCGTATGTCGGGTTGACCTGAAGTCCTTGCGAGCGCGGCGGCGAGAATTCTTCTTCGTCTGGTGCGTAAGTGGGTGGTGAACCGGGTGCGCAGTTGTCGATGTGTACCATGCAGTTGATGATGTTGGGTGTTTGTTGTGCAGATGTTGAAGAGCGCCTTGGAGGACTTGCTTGAGTGGAAGCGACTTGTGGGTCTGCTGCACGGTAAACGCGAGGGCGGTTGCAGTTGACCTTGGAGTGCCCGGAAGTCTGACAGTTGTGGCAGAACGGCGGCACGATGGTGAGTCCTCGGTTGTCGCGTTGATCTTGCTTGCTGCGTCGGTTGTAGTTGTTGTCATTTCTTCTTTGAGTGTAGAAGACTAACTGCTGTTGCTTCCTTGGTTGTCTTTCCTCGAACAGATCCATCTCCTGTTGTTCAGCGTGAAGCTCGGCGCAGAGGTGCATCTCCGAAATTCTTCCGTGGGCTCGAAGAAGTGATCGTGTGGTTCTCCATTCTGGCCCGAGCCCGGCGAGGACAAGTGTCACGAAGCTTTCTTCAGTGATCGTTCCTCCGCACCGAAGCAGGCGGTCGCGGAGGGTCTGGCAGCGACTCATATACTGCATCGCCTTTTCCCCGGTCTTCATCTGTATTGTTGTCAGCTGTTGCATGAGTCTGCTTTGTGTCACGCTGTCGTTTGCTTGGTAAAGGCATTTGAGGTGGTGCCATGCGAGCTCCGCGGAGTTTCCATAACTCCGATACGTTCTGATGCTCTGCTGCTCTTGTGGTGACAGGTTTCTCAGGAGTACCGTGTACGCCAGCAGCGACTGATACGTGAAGATCTCTTGTTCCTTCCCAGTGCCGTTGCTTGGGAATGGCAGGGACCCGTTGAAGTATCCCAGAAGATGCGCGGCCTCCATCAGCAGCTCGAACTCGAAGCTCCAGGTAAAGAAGTCGTGTCCGTTGAACGGTGAGGATGTCTGAAGTTTGATCACGTGTGAGAACTGCGCCTGTAAACTTAAGATTTCATTCGGTGTTTGTTGTGAAGCAGCTGCTGTTGGCTGGGCACGGGGCGGCATGAATTCGAACGTCCCCGGCGAAGAATGATAAGGCGCAAAGGTAGGCGCTTGATTGTGTCGCCCGAAGGATGAGTTGTCGAGGCTCATCGGCGCTAATCCCATATTCCCTCCATTGCTCTGTGTTGAGTGCGCAGGTGTCCTTGTCTGCTGCTGCTGGTCGAAGTGTGACATGAAGCTGAAGAATCTCTCCATGAGATTCGGGTCCACACTTGAAGAGGGAGACGGAGTCACCATCTCTGGTACTCTTCCCGTTGTTTCTTGAGTAGTCCCGGTCTCTGTCTGCAGTCCTGAGGTGTGCAGACCAGAGTTGCCGTGTTGAGTTTCTTGGGCGCTGGGTGAGCCCGTAGAGACTTTCTTGCCCTTGTTGTCCATGTCTTGTAATCAATGGAGTTGTTGAATCAAGTTGAGTTGCAGGTCGTTGATGGAGCGTAGTTGCTGGGAGTTTGGTCTCTGACCAGCTCTCATACCATGTTGGGCTGAGAAAAGCCCTTAGGATCTTTTGCAGAGACTAAGTCCCAGCTTGTAGAGACTTGAGACTTGGAGTAGTGCAGCGGAAGTTGAGACAGTTGAACCCTTGTACTAGTATGTGAGAACAAGTGATTGATTAAAGAAACAAGCATACAGCAATATATAGAAGATAAGAAAGCAGTTGCAGAGTACAGTTACAGGAACGGTTTATCGAGTCGCATAGCGACTCGATTGCCGCTTCGGTTACCATCCGTGATGCTGTAACGGTCAGTCGCAACCTCCAGTTGCGACCCTTTGAGTCCCAGACCCTTCGTGTTCTTTGTCCGCCCCCTTGTGTAACCTCCGTTGACTCGCGTACCCCTTGCAATCTTCCTCGAGTGTAGTGTTACACTTCAGAAACGCTTAAGTCTTTTGATGTACTTTCAACAGGAATGGACACTGATTTTCCTAGTCACCACCTTTCCAAAGCTCCTTACAACATTTTTGTTCAATATGAATGAAGAAACCAAATGCTCTACAGAAAGACTTTAATAGCGTATAGCTGCACGTAACATGTGTGGCACTCTAGAGGACCATGGCCATCGGCCTATCAGCAGCAGTCTACTCTACTCTACTACCAGTACTATAGGTTCACTACTGCCTAGTAATTTACTGTCACTACTACCTAACTGCGCTACTCGTCCTCATCGTCCCAGCGGTCAGCAGGGCCATCACCCACCAGCTCGGTCTCGTCCTCCGTCCCCGCCTCCTGCACGTCATCCTCCTCTTATGCAATCTCCTCGTCAATCTTCTCCTTTCCTTTCTTTCTCGCGGGCTGCTTCTTCGGCCGAGCATGAATATTGAAGGGCTTTCTCTTCTTGTAATTGCGCCAGATGTCCACCACTTCCTCCCACTTCGGCTCATAGTCAAGAAGGGCCATAGCCATGAGGTCGGAGAGCCGCGCATCTTTAATCGCTCCCCGCTGCCAGCTTTTGATGATGTTTGCCTTGAGAAACCCCGCTTGCACTCGACAGTGCTCAACGGGAGAACGACGACTGAGATCCACAGCTTCACGATGTTGGGGTACGCCACCTGCCAATCCGGAGTCTTCAGCATCGCTGTCAGGCCAGCGTGGAATGACTTCTCTGTCTTCGGGGCAGCAACTCGGACCGGGCAGAAGTCGCGCGACTCCTTGAATGCTTTCCGTTTGTCAATGCCTGCCACGCATCAAAGACAAGGGAAGCAATCGAAGAGGTGGTTTAATAGAAGACCATGGGACGAGCATGGTAGATGATCATGGGAAGTAAGATGAAGCAACGGAGGACATTCCCGGACTAGTTCTACCATGAAGCCGACATGCCTGGGAGAATCTAGTCCGACTGCTGCGCCCTGAACAGCGTAACTAGGGACTGGAGGTTCTCCTTGCAGTACTCGTTGCGCTCTTGCCGCCCTAGCGGCCAGCCATCCACGATGTACAGGCACACTCCCGACAGTGCCTCCAGGTCCCCTAAATGATCTTGCAGGTTGGTAACCATCTGCTTCGCCATCAAGGTCCCCAGGTCCACACAATGGTCTTCACTGAACGACCCGTCACAACCATCAAGAGGTTCGTCACGCAGGAGGTAGGTATGTGTCGCTGGCTGGCCGCCCGCATCCACGCCCTCCACTGTCACGTGCCGCGAACCTCCCTCGCCATGTCTCTTGAGGAACTTGGAGAGGCGCTTACTGACGCCACCTCCAAAATTCGTCGCCGCAGTCCACGTAGCGCGACTCGATGAAGCTTATAGTGCGCACGATCTGGGACTGGACGGAGACGAGATCGAGCTGCAGTGGCAAACAGGGAGGGATACACGTGCATTAGAAGGCGACACTAGAAAACAGTATCTATGTACAGGGGCATACTCAAGATCGACGACACTCATGAAATTTTAATACAGCCGGTTGAAATGCTTAAAATGAAATAGTTCCGACGCTCACCTCGCGTTGCTGGAACGTCTTGTTCAAGACGTTCAGCTGCTCAAGCATGTCTGCAAGATAGTAGAGGAGAAATTGGAAGGTGAAACTCGTGGCCATTCTGTTGGTGCAACCCTATGGCTTGCACTCGGCTTGTCGTCCTTGTTTGTGTGTGTGCATGCATGGCATGGAATGACTTGTGAGTCTATATCATTGCTATCTAGTGCTCATGTGTGTGTTTGAATGGTGTATCACAATGTGGTTTGTGTCGGTCAAGACATTAGCGAGTTTTCACAACTCGCATGTCAAGTCGTCGTTTGCGTGTCGCATGTGTTTTTTCTATTTTGTCGAATGTTGAAGTGTCCATCGTGTTGCAGGTGTGTGCAGCAAGCCTCCATCAACTCAAGAAGAATTTATCTTGCTGAACCAAGACCAAGAGCTCAAGATTTCAAGCCCAAGGGACACGGATAAATATTAAATAGTGAAAATCGTAACGCTACTTCGTGTAGTGTTACATTTCACTTGGTGTAGCCCCTTGGAGGGTTTGTTTCGAGACTCTTCATGATTGGGGACTCTGTGGTGGTGTACCACCAACGTGGACCTCGATTCTTGGGGTATGTAGAGGCTGGGAACCATCTCCATCTCTAATTCTTCTTGCTAAGTTTGTACTTCCAAGACTCTAGTGGCTGCTATACCTTCTGCCAGTCAAACCGCCATATCTTCAACAAATTTTCATGGAATTTTATGATTCAACTTGCTGCTGATAGGTGACAGCAACATGCTCTAGATCAAATTTACAGATCACCGTTTGAGGCACAGATTAGATCGGCATCAATATTTGAAGCTGTGTGGCGAAATCCTGACTGTGCACAATTTCTCTCATTTTAGGCACATCTGAGCCTATTGTGATTATAACACATTCTATACATCGACTGGTCCTCAAACTCATAAAGCATGATGATGACACCTGGCAGAACAGCAACCAACCTGAGGACAGCCTCACCACGAGACATCCATCGGACGTTGCAAATCCCCTGCAGCTCCAGACTAGTCTGGTTGAAGAGGTCTTGCAGGTCTAGGAACCGCTGGTGCCATGGACCGGGGCGGCCGAGATACTACGCGAGCCAGTTGATGAAGGCATCAATCATGCCGAACTCAGGCAATGAGTCCGCAGCATCCTTGGCTGCCAGCGCCTCCCTGCAACATTCGTAAGAATTATTGTTAGAAATCCTCATAAGAAAGATTTTGCACCCAGCGAAAGGCATGAGAAAGTCCTCCAGAAACAATGTTACCTGTGCGCAATGCAGTGGCATGACACGAGGTGGGGAATCCTCGTACGGAGCCGTGCGACAACTCCGTTTCGGTGACCCAGCATCACCGCTGCACCGTCGGTGCTGATGCCTGTCAAGCGCATCAAGTCCACTCCTACTGCAGACAGATGGGACAGGAGCAGTTGAACGAGAGAACCCGCATCAGCCCTGTCGACACTCAGTAGAGCAAAAAACTCTGTCACAATCCTCCCCTCGCATAGAAACGTCGCGTAGGCGATTAAGTGCTTGCCGCGACACCTATCATTTGATTCATTACAGCTGATGCCCAGGAATGGACTCGCGCGGATGTAGTCAATCTGGGTGGTTTGCAGCAGGTGGCAGTTGCCTGTGTGAACTCCCCAAAGCCGTACCTGCAACACGCAAGGCATGAACATGTGGTTAATAGAAGCATATGCAAGCACAGTGAGGGGAAGTGGAGCACGTACGAGTTGTAGTACGTGCCGTAACCCTTCATGGGGAATCCCGGTACTCCACGCTTGGCCAGGTACTTGACAAGCCGCATCCATGCCTCCATGGGTTCCCTTCTTTGGCAGTTGAAGAGAAGGGCGTCGAGAAGAGCGACAACGCGTTCCTGCTCGACGTCGCGGGTGACGAAGTTGGTGTCGATGCGCGACTGGCGAGAGGCTTCTTGAAGGAGGTCAGCTTGGCGTTGAATCGCCAGCTTGTGCTTCTAAGTTGCCGTGTGCCGCTTGAAAGCTTGGAACTGGACGTCGGTCGCTCCCTGTTCTCCATGTCCGCACTAGCCGCTATCTCCAGCATGCTCAAGGTAGACGGTGCACTTAAACGCAGGAAAGCCACCAATAGTCTTAGTTAGTAATAGCCAAGGGTATCTCTCCTGCCAGACCGACTTAAACTTGTCATGGGCATCAGCGTAAAGCAACTCAATAAGATTGGGTATGGGAGTTGGGGCATCGCCAGTCGCTTCGTTGTTGGCGGATGAAGAAGATGCGGGAGGTGGCGGGGTGGAGACGAACGGGAGAGTCCCCTGACGGAAGCGCCCGAGCCGTTTTGCAGCCGCGCCGCTGGACTCGGGCTCATCGGGGAGGGGCGTCTCTGTGGGGTCAGTCGCTGGGATCCACACGGGTGCGGGGAGCGGAATGGGAATGACCGTTGCCTCATTCGCCCCCAGAGGCGCGTCGTCAGCATGTGCGGTGGGGTCAGATGTTGGCTTGGGCAGAGGTGATACACGCTCCGGAATGGGAGCTATCGACGGTAGGGCCAGAAAGTCCTCTACCGGAGCGGCGCCACTAGTCAGAGTGGTAGCGACGGTGGGGGACATGCTTGACGGGGGGGGTTTTGGGAGGAGGAGATCTAGACCTGTACGCGCTGGTGGTGGAAAACATAACGGTTGTGCGTCGGCAGCAACATAGGCCGTTGTGTCATCATCAACGTCATCCCCCATGCGGGTTGCTTATGACATAGCTGTGCTTGGCGTACAATCACAGTATTTTAAGATGGCGATGAAAGGGAAGAGCTGGATCAGGAGGAGCTGGTGGTGTGGTGTGTGGCCCTTATGCCATGGTGGTTGCTGCATGCACATGCTGCATTAAGAGCCGGATGCATCGCACTGCATGTGTTGCGATGCCACCACGTGGCCAGCAGTGCAGTATTGCTGCAGGAATCTTCGATGCGATTGGCGTTTTGACCTTGAACTGGGTCAAGAACCAATTGCACTCATCGGCTGCTGTGTGCTGTCGACAACGCGACATCAATTTTGGTCTTCCCGCCCAGGCTGAACCTCGCTGTAAATCAGTCGGCGTGATCGACGGGGAGATAGGGGGGTACCGCTCCGACGGGATTGAAAATTACGCTAATTGCGGTATATGTTGTTTCAGGGCTGATACTCGTTATGATGCTGAACCGTCAGTGTCTACACCACAAAACACTATGAA